CATTGTAACTGGAAGCACACAGAAAAAGACAGTCCCTGAAAATCCGCCCCAGGGCTGCGAAGACACCCCTTGTCTGACGCCTGACTCTTGTGTTCAGTGGTCGGCACTCGGCAGTTCAGAGAAGAGCAAGTTTGGCTCCGTTAAGAAGCCAGGCTGTAGGTGGAGGGAACGTGTTTACCTGGGACAGTCAGACCAGCCAAGGCACAAGGACACTGTGGACGCGGAAAGTGTCTGCCCTGCGCGGGAAGAGTTCAGAGTCTGGGGGGAACGGACAGCACGGAGGAGCTCTGAACTTCAGATTTCGCACATGAAGGAAGGACAGACAAGCTCTCTCCAGCGCGGTGGTGCAGTCAGAACAGGTCAGTGGGTCCTTAGGGAAGACGGCCGCTCAGAAGGCAATTAACAACTCAACTCGGGGTACCGGGCCAGATCTCCGGCAAGCGTGCAAAGGGGCCGGGGCAGTGCCAGGGGTAAGAAAACGGGCGCTGAGCCCAGGTAACAAACGTGTTTGGACGAATGCAGCTTTATGGCAACCAGGGAGTGATGGGATTAATTTAGCTGAGGCTCAGACTTTTTATCATTTTTGCAAAGTAGACAGCCAACTCTACTCGGGAGGCTGAGGCAGGAGGATCGCTTGGGCCCAGGAGTCTGAGGTTGCTGTGAGCTAGGCTGACGCCACGGCACTCTAGCCCGGGCAACAGAGTGAGACTGTGCCTCAAAAAAAAAAAAAAAGAACAAGGAGAAAACAGATGGAGAGCAAAGATATTGATAGTGTGGGCCAGTGATTATTTTTGGAACTTGGATGTCTATTTTTTATTTTTCCTATCAGTTCTACTGGATTATCTTCTAAAACTTGAAGATAGAACCAAAAATACTTGTATGAGAGGCAGTAAAGCACGTGGCTAAGATCACTGAGCTCACGTCTGGTCCCACTGCTAGTTAGCGACCTGACCCCCAAGTTACTTAACCTCTTTCTGCCTTTTACTCTGCTGCTGTGGGGACGAGAATAGAATTCATCTCATACTTGCGAGTATTAAATAGGATGACGTATGCCAGGGCCCCCGTGCAGTGCCTGGTACACACAGAGTTCGAGCGATATTTGGTGTGACTGTTATTTTTATTATCACTGCCATCATCCTCATCCTCACCGATGTCACCGTGACTAGGGCGGCCCCCAGTGGGCTTCCTCCTGACTCCTCTGCCCACCCGATTCGTTTCTCAGGAACGAACGATCACACCGTACCTGGTGTATTTAAAGCTGATGAGGGACCACTGGATGTGGAAGACGTTGTCGCCGACCACGTTGGGTTTGCCGTCCTTCACCAGAAACTGGAAACTGTCCATCATCTCGGGGACCTTCTCCTCGCGCAACACGTAGCGAATCAGCCCCGAGTTCACATCCTCTGGGGGAAAGAAGGCTCGCCGTGAATTCACGCGGGAGCAACGACAGCCTCACGGGTCCCCACAGCGACACGCCCAGTTAGTGCTTCTAACAGGCTACGGACAAAACCTATCGTCCCAACAACCAAAAGCGCAGTAGTCCTAAAAATAAATGTTTCTGCCAGACTTTGAAATAAAATCCCGCAGCTCCATGCTAACTGAAGACCTGTCTTTACGCACGGAAAGTTCCCTTATGCTGTTCTAAAACGAGAATCCCGGGGTCTTGACAAAAAGCACTTTCCTAAACGTCTGTGGAGTGTAAAGGGCAAATCCGAGAGGTGACAGAGCGGAGTCTTTGACCGCATCCTCCGTGTGGACGCGTCACCCTCAGACCTGGTGCTTTCTAAAGAAGGGTCTTTGGAAGGTGTGTGCCAACAGGAACGGCCGGGGTTGGATTACAACGGCCACATGAAGCACAGCCACACACAGTCGAGCACGGCGAGGAAAAGGGGACAAGAGCAGGGATTTTACAACGTGGTGAAAACAGCTGCTCCCCACCAGGTCCCTCCCCAACAGAACTCCAGAACAATCTGACAAGCTTGTAAGAAGCTAAAACCCCAAATAAGCTGCTTGATGTGATTCAAAACAGGAAGGTATTTCTGTTGAGCAACCTACACACGTGGATTTTAATTTCTTGGCCGAAGTCTGTTAAAAAATCTATAATTCTTAGAGAACAAACAAACAAATAAACCACACAGGATCACAGATCTTTCAAAACGTCTGGCTGCTGTGGTTATCGTTTGTAAAGACAACCAAGCAGTAGCAAGTATTCTTTTCCAGACAGCCTGGCCGAAACGTAAAGCGATTTGGGAGCTGAGGAAGCCTGGCAAAGAGCAAGTTTTCTTTGCCATAGTTAAGAGTAAAAGGGAAAAAATCAGGAGAATAAATTCCTGAGTTGGACGGTTGGCACTAAAAGATCTATGTGTCTGCAGACAGCTGACTCGGGCGTAAGCAGCCAGAAGCGGCCGTGAGAAAGATCGGGAGACGGGAAGGCGGCCTCAGAGACATTTCTCCCGTGTCTAAGTCCCCGGTCCCCACCCTGGGTGAACGTGGCGGCTGCTCTGCCCGGCTGCAGCTTGTGCTCCACGCGGCCGTGCGCGGGGCCTGCCGTGATCTCGTAGACGAGCTGTGGGTCCTCGGTGTCTGCGTCCGTGGTCAGCAGTTCTTTCTTGGTGATCAAGTTGGTTGCCTGGAATAGAAACCCATTAGGTTTAATTCCCGAGCTGGGAATAAGCAGAACAAGCCCCTCTGACACAGATTTAATTTGGCACGGCGACGATTTACGGAGC